AGAGAGCGAGAGAGACAGAAAGAGAGAGAGAGAGAGAGAGAGAGACAGAAGAGAGAGAGAGAGAGAGAGAGAGACAGAAGAGAGAGAGAGAGAGAGAGAGAGACATGCAGGGAAGGGTTTTTGTTTCTAATCTCAGCCACAGATTGTCTTGAAACTAAAATTTAAAAAGAATATTTTAAAGTGTGTTTGTATTTAAAGATAGCATTGTAGCTAGCCTTCATATCCATCAGGATTCATTCATGCAGGAACAAAAACTTTTTGGTTTAAGTCAAATTCACCAAACAGAGAAATTTCTTCTTGCATTGGCAGATATTTTTGACTAATTAGAAGCAAAATCGTATTTCTTTGCATTCTATATGTTGAATGAAAAGTGTATGTGGACGTGTCAGGGGAACGTGGAGTGTAAAGACATCGATCTTTTTACAGCGTGTATTTTGATACCTTGGACGGTTTCCCTGGCTGGTAGTTTCTGAACCTCGGGATGCTCCTGATCCCCTCCTCAGATTCTCGGTTGTCAAGGATTTCTTCGTCTGAGATCGTCTCTATCTCCCCTCGGAGAGTCAGCGGCCCCTCTGACCTCGCCGCCCCTGCTCCGCGCAGACTGCCGATTGGCTGTTTGATATTTATCTGCGCCGCTGCAGCCGCTCTGTCCCGAGCCGGCTGCCGCTCTGAGGTGACTGAACTCCACTCTGACTGCTCAGACAAACACCTGGTTTCACCCTGAGGCTCTGACTGAAGGTCGGACGCTTCATGTGATTGGCTGCTGTCCTTCTGTGAGTCCTGTGATTGGTCAGATTCAGTTCTGTGTGTTGACGTGTTGGATGTTTTGGCTGTTTCTCCCTGAGAGTCGTGATGTGAGGCCCGCTGTCTCTCCCTGCAGAGAACGTCTCTGTACAGAGAATCCATTGGATCAGAGGACGACTCCCCCTGCTGGCCATCCTGGTTCTCTTCATCTGTGGAGGAAAACACAACAAGGTTACATTTCCTGGCATCGACCTCACTGACATGACGGCGACTGAATCACTGAATTCATCTCCCCTTTGCCGCTGTTTTTATATTTTTAATACTCTGATTTTCCCACTTTACTCATTTTACATTTTCTCCACGTTTTCAGACTCCTCCCTCTTTTGCAAACGTCGCTCAATCACAGCTCAGTGTCTTTATCTTTAAGACTTCTTAAACCAAACTGGAGATGGATGAAAGCTTTAATTTAACGCCTGTAGATTATTTTTTACCTTTCAATAAAACTCTGAAGTCTCCTCTCATGTTCGGAGTTTGTGGTCCTCGCTTTAAAATAAATTCTGCTGCCAAAATGATTTTCTTAAGCTCAGTAGATATTGAAGTTTTAGTTTCTTAGAATTAACCAGTTCAACCTGCACAGCTTCCCTCTAACTCCTCATCACATGCTCTGGTCGTGTTCCTCATGCCGGTCTGCAGGTTCATCATCATCATCATCATCATCATCATCATCATCATCATCATCATCATCAACCTTTATTTAAGTTCTCAGAGAGATGATTGAGGGCGACCCTCATTTACAATGATGCAGAGAAAACATAAATGATAAACAACGAGAAATGAGATAAAGCTACTACAGAAAATCAAATCAAAAAAAGAGCAATAAGAACAATAAAATAATTTAAAAAGCTTGAAATTACTACAGTGATAAGTCAGTAATTAAAATAAAATGAAACAGTCACAGTCGGGTATCGGGCGGTGTCAGGTCCTGTTGTAAAATGTTCCAGGAGTTTGCAGCACTAACACTAAAAGCAGTTTTCCCCAGGTCAGTCCTGGCATGAGGAACCTGGAGAAGCAGCCTCTCTTTCTCTCGAGCGGGTTCATATCTCTCTTCAGATTCATGAGTACCATACCTCTGTGGTAAAGTGCAGTGAGGAAGCCCAGGCGATCAGTTCCCTGGAAAAGCGCTCGTTCAATCTCCATCTCCCGGCGTGACAGCGGCCGGCTGGAGGCGAAGCGCTGTGGGCGGGACATGAGCTCTGCACGGGCCTCGATCTTGTCTCTGATCACCTGCAGACGCTGCTGCTTCGCACCTGGAGCCGCACACACACCATGGGACTGTGGACACAGGAAGGGGGGGGGGGGACAGATGATGTTAATACAGAATAAATAAATCAGTGTTACAGTGACATCATCCTTAATCCTAAAAACATAGTTTAGAAAGTTCGTCATGATTTCCATCACCTCTGTGACCTCTGTGTCTTTTACCTTCTCGGCTCCCTCCGGTGTGTCTCTGCTCTGCCACAGCTGGATCTCGGTGTCGGTCAGTCCAAGCTCCCGGAGGCTGGCCAGCTCCGTCTCCCCGTCCTGCAGGGCCTGAAACTGGGTGAGACTCCTCACACCGGCTGCCTGCTCGCCAAATGGCCGATAGAGCGCCGCCGGGGCGAAGCACTGCTTCTTGGCTACACATCTGCAGGAGAGGACATCATTCAGAATGTGTTAGGAAGGAGATGAGACGACCCTGCTGGTTGCTGGTTTTGCTTTCTGTGTGTCAGTAGGAGTGTCTGGGTCGTCATGGTTGAGAAACAAGAGAAGGAGAGAGAGAGAGAGAGAGAGAGGAGCTGATCCTCATGTAGCCATGCCTCCTCATTATGTTTGTATTTTATCTAGCTGAACTTTAATGTAAATAAACGTATTCAGTAGCTCCACGTCTTCCTGCCGTCGTTTGTCACTGGCTCTAAGCCAGCCGTGACAGCGTCCTATCACAACCTATCAAAGCCCCTCCCCTACCTGTCTGAGCTCCTGCACCAGCATGCTCCCACCTGCCCTCCCATCCATCCCCACAGTGCAGATCTAACTCCCGGTCCTGGGGGTCATGCAGGACCTTCTCCATTGCCGCTCCCACCCTCTGGAGCTCATCCCAAAAACCATCTGAGACCCCCCCTCACTCTCCACCTAAAAAGTCGACTTCTTCTGCATCACCTACAACTACTAAGAATCTCTGTCCTCACTCTTTGTCTCTCAGATTATTTATCTTTCTTCAGCGTCTTTGAGTATTCAGAGTCCAGTGTGTTATAATGATTATTATTATTGCTGTAGTGAAACTAGCTGCAGACCCTTCCAGAGGTCTCATTATGTTTTGAAGTTTTCTTATAACTGATACTGAGTGAGACTTTGACGCCCCTGAGGGTCGGGTATTAACCCCTCCTCCAGGCTGCCCCGCTCGTCTCAGTGAAGACAACACAACAGAGTCTTTGTTTTTGTTTTTTATAGCACAGACCGACCTGCTGGGAATAAAGCAGCGGCAGACTTTCTCTCCCACTGAGCCGCTCTCAAACACAGAGACAGGCTTCATCAAGGCGGCCATTTTTTTGTCTCCAGTGATGTTCACCACAGTTTGCATTGGAGCAACATTTTGGATCGATACTGTGGAATGGGATCTTAAAAAACAGACTCACACTCAGAGTCATTGTGATGTGTTTGCAGCCAATTTATTTGATTGTTTTTTTCAATTAAGTGTTCTGTTTTGTTTTAATGAATGCTTTGTGATATTATAAGATTAGTCTTCTTTATGCTTCTTTTCATTCAAAATTTGAGATTTTATGTTTGTTTGTTATTCTTAACTTTATTTTTGTTTGAATGAAATAAAAAAAATTGAAATTTCCACGAGATAACACTGAGCGGGAGACTGCATCTGTTAAATTCTTGTTTCAACTAGCTGAGATGATTCCTGCAAGTGTCTGCTATGTGATTTGTGGTTATGGGACATTTTATTTGATTATCCATGAAAACAAAGCCATAATCACACAGTTACTAACCGCTGGATGTCCACGTCGGTGTGGAGCTGCTGCAGCAGGAGGCTGTGGAGCTGTCGCTGGCCCTCCGTCTCCTGCTCCTCCAGCAGCGGGCCGTCCTCACAGGACTGCCGGCTCACTCTGAGCAACACAACAACACAGAGAACATCAGGTCACAAACCCCAGTGGATGTTTGCTTATATAACAGTATGATAATGACACATCCATCTCCATCAACAACAGGATACTTTCAGGTGGTCGTGCACAAACATATGAGAGATGTAGACGTTGCTTGATTTCAGTGGGCAGGTGACTGCACAACCTTTGACTGGATATGAGCATACGACACAGAGAGCTTTTGCATGTGGTATAAAATGTCTTTCTCTCTCAGCATGTGCACATTTGACCTGTTTGATGCAGTCAGATGAAGTTCGTGCCACATATCAGATATCCTCAGATTGACTGGCATCAATTTAGTGAGGGGGGAACAAAAGTACTTTTGGATGTTTCTTAGATTTAGGAGAAACATGTTACAAACAGCTATGAATAAATGTTAACCAAGCGTCAAACTCCGATGTTTAAAAGTGAAGCCAATGCGGATGTGTAACATCCTGCAGTTCCTGGAGTGTCCACTAGAGGCTGGCTGCAGAAGCACAGGAAGTCACATACACACCCATTCTAAAAAGCCTGTTTTTACAGCAGAGATTAATTTTGTTTGCCTGTTTCAAAAAGTGAAATATATCTGGTTAGCTCATGTCTCGATCAGCTCGTTAGGTTGACTGAAAGTTAGACTGAGACAGGGGACGCCATCGATGGGACTCCAGCGCCCCCTGCAGGGACAGACGGGGGACGCCATCGATGGGACTCCAGCGCCCCCTGCAGGGACAGACGGGGGACGCCATCGATGGGACTCCAGCGCCCCCTGCAGGGACAGACGGGGGACGCCATCGATGGGACTCCAGCGCCCCCTGCAGGGACAGACGGGGGACGCCATCGATGGGACTCCAGCGCCCCCTGCAGGGACAGACGGGGGACGCCATCGATGGGACTCCAGCGCCCCCTGCAGGGACAGACGGGGGGACGCCATCGATGGGACTCCAGCGCCCCCTGCAGGGACAGACGGGGGACGCCATCGATGGGACTCCAGCGCCCCCTGCAGGGACAGACGGGGGACGCCATCGATGGGACTCCAGCGCCCCCTGCAGGGACAGACGGGGGACGCCATCGATGGGACTCCAGCGCCCCCTGCAGGGACAGACGGGGGACACCATCGATGGGACTCCAGCGCCCCCTGCAGGGACAGACGGGGGACGCCATCGATGGGACTCCAGCGCCCCCTGCAGGGACAGACGGGGGACACCATCGATGGGACTCCAGCGCCCCCTGCAGGGACAGACGGGGGGACGCCATCGATGGGACTCCAGCGCCCCCTGCAGGGACAGACGTCAACACGTAGGCCTACTCTTCAATAATAGTTTGTTTACTGCATTTTATACCTTTATCACAAAGTTGAACACTTGTCAACTTTTGTTTCTCATATTAGAAAAATAGAAAAAGAGTCCAAAAAAGAAGTTATGAACCAAAAGTTGATTTCCTGTTTTAAACTAAATATAAACTCTTTACATGTTTATAACTTTCTGACTGAATATATCACAGAAAGAAACAACACTGAATCTATTCCAGGCTGAAAGACATTTTAAATGTTGAGTTGTTCTGAGCTGTCAGGCTGCTGTTTGTTTGTTTGTTTGTTTGTTTGTTTGTTTGTTTGTTTGTTTGTTTAACTGTTGAGTTTTGTTTCAATTATTCGTTATTTTCTTCAATGAAACACAGAAAGAAAGCTGTCAGAGCTCAAACAGACATCCTATGTTGAGTCATGAAGGAGAACTGGTTGATTATAAAGTCCAATTTTAACGTATTTTAGTATAAAATAGTTAATAACAACATACAGCTGTAGCAGAAGTGCTAACGCTAGCTTCTCCATGACAACAGCACAGCCAGAAGAACAGCGCGAACTAAAAACGATTTAAACTCTTATTTTCTTTTAACAGTTACGTAAAAGTCTTTCATAGTGCACAGACATTGGCTGAAAATGCAATAATTCGTATAAAATTACTGACACTGATAACTCAAAGTTGTGTTTTTTACCTTCGCATGTTTCCGCCTCGTGCTTCCTGTTCCGCTCAGTGTGGAATCATGGGAAATGTAGTAGAATCCATACATGAACAAAATGATCTATACTCGAGATGATTCATGGTTACAGAGAAAATATTTCGGGGATAATAATGCAACAGCTTCTCTTTTGTTCATACAAATATAACAATGTGTATTTTATTAAGTGCAGAATCATAAAACTGTAAATAAAACTGTAAGTAAATCCTGTAGGCCTATGTTCACCAGATTCTATTGATTGTAGGCAATTTTTTTGCTGAATGTTGCTCTTCTATAATGCAAACCAGACCTGACAATCTGAATGCATTTTTTGCTTTTGTGATGCATCTGAAGTAAAAGGAAAGAAGGCACATAATGTAGTCCATTAAGCCACACCCATCTTCATTAGAGAAGGTGTGGTAATAACCCCATGTCTGTCATCAGACCTGTCTGCCTTTTATTCATCCATGAACGATGTTTTATCAAACGTCATGCTGCAAAGCCTTACTGAATATATACTGTAAACCGCTCCCACCCTCCCCACCCAGATAGAGTGTCCTCAATTAGCCTGCTGGCTGACGTCAGTAAGGTGACATGGGTGCTTCTCTTCACCATCGCTGCTGCAGCTCCGCAATAATAGATGGGAGGGGGGGGGCTTAGGCTACATAGATGGGAGCCGAGCTGTGCTGGTTGCATGCAATTAAAAAGTTGCCATGAATTAGAGCGCGGTTGTGCAGCAGCTCCCCTCTTCTCCTCCTCCTGCCTGCAGCCGGTGTCAGGTCGCCGGCAGCTCGGCTCCTCTGCAGGGCTGCGCAGCTCCTGACTGACAGAGAGATGAGGGGTGGGGACGCAGGGTGGGGTCACAAGCAGGGAGAGGCGGAGGAGGAAAAGGCAGAGAGAGAGAGCCCAGCCCTTGAATGCACGGCAACAACACGCCGTCAGAGAGAGGGAGAGACTCAGAGAGACTGGCCGTCTTTTGGGGGGAGCAAAGGGAACCTTCGACGCTGCGGATATGAACTGAAAAGACACACTGGAAGAGGAAGGGATCGTGTACCTATATCCCCAAATTTTACTGTAAAGGTGGAAAACTAGCCCCCCCCTAAACCCTCCTCTCTCCCCTAACAGTTCTTATTCAGATAGAGCTACACCCAAAGCCCCGAACCGACCCCCTACTGCTCCTGCTGCTCCACCCCTCCGCCGCTGCACCCGCTCCGGCAACCGAGATGCACACGGAGACCCGTAACAAGAAAGTAAGTGCACCTTATTGACTTTGCCCAGGTCAATGGAAAAAAGAAGCATCTGTGTGTGTGGATGATCTGCCTGTACACAAGCAGAGCTGACACTGTCATGCGCCAAATGTGACTGTCAGCGCGCATACATGTCCACAACAGCCAATTGCAATAGTATCCTTGCAGGCAGGCAGTTTATTTTGCAATTACTGGAGGACTTTTGTAACAACGACCTTATTGCATCGCAAGAACATCACGCTGGAGGCACTGACATTTCCATGTGTCATACAGAAACCTCTCTGTCTCTCCTCTTATCTCTTGCTTTCTCTCTCTGTGCGAGGTTAGCTCAGGTCCAATTTGAAATGCTCTGTGATCTCTGAGAGGCAGGAAGGAAACGGAAGGCAGAAACTGCAGCTTGTAGGACACCATCTTAGCTTTTAAAGGGCCAGCAGCCTCTCCTGAAACACAAACACACAGCACAGCCCTGGGAAGCAGCCAGGTGCACTTGCCTCTAGTTACACCCCTGCGCAGGCGCTGCTGAAGGCTTGTGCCTTTAAGTGAGTCTTGCCTCATCAGAGTGTGTTTATGTGTCAGATTGGCTGGACAGGTTTTCTAAAAAAGTAAATGAAATCTGGCAGTGTGAGCAGACTGGTATGAAACATAGATGCTGAAAGAATGCGACTGTCCTCTCTGCAGCTCCAGATCTGTTTGTTCGATGTTTTGCATGTGGATGGAGATGAGTTTCAGTTTGGGAAACAACAGCCAGGTTCCTCAGAAAAGAGGTGAGCTTTGACCTGCATAGCTGAGCAGAGATTATTGATGTTAGTTACATTCAGTGATGAGCTGCACATGAGGCAGCGCTTTACTCTCACATTTGACGTCTGTTGTTGTATTCTATTTAATTTTTGTTCCTGAATATTTATCAAGCGCTGGCATTGATGACATCACATCTCTGGTGCCTTCACTCATGTATTTCATATGACAGGTGAATAGGAGATCAATGAGTCCTTTGCAGGTAAACTCCAGCACGCCATCTTTAACTTTCAACAAACATTTATTGGAAACATTTTGCAGCTTAAACCTTTTATCAGACTACCAGTTTGTCAAATAGGAAGTGGCTTCAACCCTGCAACCAATCATCATCATGACGTCAACTCTGATTCAACAAATTAACAAACACATAAACATCAGCTTCCTGATTGAGAGCACACGCCCCAAAAACAACTAAACCGAAACTCAAAGAGGCGATTCTGAGTAAACATGTCAGTTCATTATTCTGAGTGTCTGTTTTCACTTCAATGTTTTTCATTTTGGCCTCAGAAATCTGTGAACGTCTCAAAGACATCCAGTATCGTTGTGACTGTGAATTTAAAAACAGGAAGAAAGTAAATGACTGTGATTAGTCAATTACAAGTTAGCCACGCCCTAAACCAAACGCCTTCCTATGGTGCAAAAACGTTATCATGCTGTACTGTAGGAGACTGAAACTGGCAACACAGGAAATGTTTACTGAGGCAATATTTAAAGTGAAAGGGTGGATCGTTGTCTCATAGACATCTAAACAGATGGTGAATGCTCCCCCTGCTGGTCATTAAAAAGCCTGCAGGTTTAAGGCTCGTCTGAACCCAATACGCTACAATTAGCAACTGAAGACTTTTTTTTTAAGGTTCATTTTAGAGCTAAGTCAGTGGATAGAGTCATAACCCGGGGAGAGAGGGAGCCGGTAATGACATGCATGGAAGGAGCCACAGGTCAGATTTGAACCTGGGCCGCCCCCTTAGAGGACTTAAGCCTTTGTACATGCACTTACCACTGGGCTACCGGCGCCACGAGAGCTTTCTAACTGAAGTGTAAATGTCAAAGATCTCCAGCACATAGCCTGGCCCTTTTTTAAAAGCAGTAACCACAGTCAGCTTCTTTCAGCCTGTAACAGATTCAGGTGCTGTCATCACTCCCCAGTTTAATTCTAATGAGCCTACATGAATCTATTCTATTCAACAGGGTCATTCAAGTCTTACGCAGCACGTCAGCAACAATGCACATGAACGTCAGCAGTCACAAGAGCTTCATTTAGCAAATACAGTAAATCTGCAGAGATTTGCACTAAATCTGCAGAAAACGTTCACGGTGCAGAGAGAGCACTACAACAGTTTTACTTGTTAGAATTTTATGATTTTATTTCTCGTGTGTATCCGTTCTTCAAGCTCCCTGCAGACATGTTGGCGGCTTTAAAAACCAAAAGTAAAAGCAATGTGATCATGGTGAAAACGTTGCTTCAGTCTAAAAAAAACAAAACATTTTGAGATCGCCCCTTCAACTTAAAACAACCTTGTGCTTGAAAGTTAAACATTCAGCGTGCTAAATCTAATTAAGAATAAGTTAAATGGCTGCTTTTGTTAACAGATCGCTTTATCTCCACATGCTGGATTCATGCTAGGGGGTCATGGCGCTTGAGAACGTGATGTAGCATCGTAGTTCAGAGGTCAAAGACAAAAGCCAAGTTGAACTTTGAACAAGTCATTTTTTTCTGACTGATCAGGTTGATGTGTCCAACTCTGTTTCTCAAAAAATAGAAGTACAGGGGTTGTGATTTGCAGCGTCTGAAGAGTTCTGGTTTCTGTTTGCGGTACGTTTGTAGTCCGAGCTGTATCAGCCGGTCTCGGTGTGTACCGGTAACAAACGGTCCGTGTGGACAACAATACACAGGCGAGATGACGAGGTGCTACTCCGGGATGTCATGGACCGAGAAATGACCACGTTTCAGTTGCAGATGTAAACGTCAAACAGAAAACAGGAAGTCTTCCCAGGATGTAATTTAACTCTAACCTCATGGCTTTAGAATAATAATAATAATAATAATAATAATAATAAACTTTATTTATAAGCGCCTTTCTTAAAGATAAAGATAAACTTTCTTGATCCCCCATGGGGGACATTTTTTTGTCACAACAGCTCAAGAAACAGGAATATAATTATCAAAAATAACAAGAAGTTAAAAATCAAACATCAGTACATCAGTTAAAACTTGACATACAAGGACACTGTACAAAAATCAACATTTAAAAACAACGATGGATAAAATCAGCATACAATAAAATAAATGAAATGTAGGACAGTGTAATTACAGTTCGAGTGAGGAGGAGTCTTTTTGAGTCTGGATTTGAAGATGGGGAGAGAGAGTCATCTTAGTGTTAGCTAATGTGAGCTAGCTACTCACGAGGCTCGTGTTCGCTGACGCCTTTGAATGCGTCATTTGGAAAACACTGATGAGAATGAAAATCTGACATTTTGGTGTTGGATCCGTTGATTTGTAGTGTTGCAGGAACGCATCATAACACCACTCTGGGACAGAACATTTACAGTTTGCATCATGAACATGAACTATGGAGCGTAACGACTCTGAGCGTGACGTCACAGCAACGCGGCCTCTGAGGGAATACGGCGTTTTAATGGAAGAGATGACAGGAAGAACATGTTGTTCTTTTCCAACGCTTGCTGCTTCCTGGTTTTCTTTTAAGTCTTACAATCGTGTGGTCTGACGTCACACGTCCACCGCGGCGGCGTCTTTCAGAGATCGTTCAAAATATCCTCCAGTTTATTCCAAACGAAACAGGAAACTCAACTCATGACTTCCTGTGTGATGGAGGTTGTTTTCTCCATGAAGGTGCTGCACAGCTGTTGACTGCAGTCCCTCTGAAAGCTTCTTTAATGTGACATCAGTCCTCTGTGTTTGAA